GAACACCTCTACTTTGCTGTAGTGTCAACACTGTAGTTTTGAACCTTTATTTTCAGAGTTTGTTGGGTTTAGTTCTTTCTTAAGATTGCTTGAAGCCAAGGCAAAAGTTTCTAGGGTTCTGAGCTTGATCCTGCCTATTTTAAAGTAATTTTAAGGGTAGCAGGAACTAGCCCCAGATCTGTGCACACAAGAAACCTGAATGCTTCTTGGCACCCGCTTCTGCGTTCACTTGCACCAGAGTTGTGTTTGCAGAAGGGAAACGTTCCTTTGCAGCCTGGCCCATTACTCCCCAGCTGTGGGAACATTTTCTCAGTTTGCCTAGCTAACATGTGACTCGGGTAGGTGAACATACAGATTTCACACACATAATTCCTTCATGTACGCACAAGTAGGTTCCCGCTTTGAAAAACTGAATGCATAAAGTGTTTGCTGGCAAAAAGCTATGCATTAATTTTATTTTTAAATGCCATGATGTGTGTAAAAACCTGGACAGCTTCAAAATAGGAAAAGAAAAACAATGCTTTCATAGTTTTGAAAATAAGCCATAATGCAGCCTCCAGGTTATGAAGGTCTTCAGGCATTCTTGACATCTTCATAACCCCACCAGTACCAATGAGTAATGATTGCTGAATACTGACTTTAAAGCCAACAGGCTCCCTCGACACTGAGGAAAGGGTGGATTGCTCGGGGTGATTAGGCGGGTTGCCAGCCCCCCCACCAGCAATGCCTTTTGCAAGGCGTGACGCCAGCCAAGCGAGAGGTCCCACCACCATGCAACAGGGACATCTGCATCAGGGTTGGAGCCTGTCCTGTTGCATCCCAGCGTGCGTAGACATAGGAGGGGCTGCCATGGGGGAATGAGTAGGGTTAGTTCAGGCACGTTCCTCAGAAAGACTTACTTAAACTTGGCTGCTGCAGTGTTTGGGATCACTGGAGGAACTGGACTCCCTTCCAGCTCTCTCATTACTTGTCAGGTTTCCAGCACTGGGCTTCCGACACTGGGCTTCCTTCCTGTCTAGATCCGTCTGCTGAGCTGGTTGGTGTCAGGGTAACAAGACAGGAACGTCATCATCCAGACCTGATTTTGTCTAACCTCTGTCATCTGAAACATGTTCAAGGATCACAACCCTGTTTCCAATTTAAAGGAATTTTGGATGAGCGGGCTTTGAGCTATTGTTGCTATATGGTAATGCAAAAAAGGAAGAAAAAAAGCACTAGAAGGGTTCAAGCGTCTCCCAGAAGCCCTTCAAAAATTACATCTCTGCTACAGAATGGCACAGACAGTCATAAAGAAGCCACAGCTATAGAAAGGCTCTCTTGTGTCCTTACCTTCCCCGCCTGGCAGCAGGGTGGAAGCTGTGCTACCTGCACTGCTGCCTGAGTGGTGACCTTGTATATGTGGCCTTGCAATGTTTTTGCTGTCAGGAGGCCAGTTTGTTTACGTAAGACATGAACGATGACCTCTTTGCCTGAAAACAGGAGGAAAAGAACCAAGAACAGGCAGTGTTCTGACTCTGTCTCCAGTAGCCCCTCTAGTAAAGCTGAGCCTGAGGAACCTCCTCAGTGTCACCCTGACAACCCTTTCTGCATTGCTTTTCCTCTATTTTTGTTCCTGCGTGCACGCACAGACCACAAACCCCTTCCCCTTGCTTGGGCACTCAGGCAGTGCCTCAGACATTACTGCTGTGCTTCTGACCTGGACATGCTTTGGTGCTCCTTGTCCCGGGAGGCAGTTTCTGTGTTCTCCAACCCCCTCACTTCTTCCAGTTCACTGAATTGCTTCTTCCATGTAGCCCCTCGCCTTTAGCTGAGCCCACAGTCCCCCACAGATCAAAGACCTATTCAACAGCACTTATTAGCATTATTTCGGCTAACAATTTGTTTATACAGCATGAGTGAAAGGGGACCTAATCTAGTTCAGGCTTTTACATGCTGCTAAAATAGAAATGGCAGAAGATGATTGTTTGACTTGTTTAAAAGGGTCTACTTTTCACAGCAGACCCTTTCAGAAGGGCAAGTGATGGAAAGAGATTTTTGCTAAGCTTTTTCTGCACTGGAAGCCTTTCTAGTGACTAGAGATGGGAGTTTGGAAGTACTGAGTGCTCTGCCCATCCCACCGCACATCCCGGCTTCCTCGCAAATAGTCACACTGAACACTGCAATTGCAGTGTGGGTATTTGCATATTATGTCAGAAATATCACTGTCAGGAGAAGTTTGTAGCTGAAATTAGGAGTCTGCATTCTGCCATGCACTGGAAACCACTAGGGACCAGCAGCTGACTTTGGAGTAGCAGTTTTCTCTGTTGCAAACCTGAGCGTTCAATAGCTGCACACCCGATTAAACACTTGTTTTCATCTTCTGTTCCTGCTCCTGCTGCAGAAACCTCTATTTCAGAAACTACCCTTACAGGTGTAGTTAGCGGACCTGAGGCAGGGCTGCGGACAGTAATGTTGGCAAGGGTACCAGCAGAGAAGTCTCAAGTTCAGCAGCCAGGAGTTGCTCTTGACTCGGGGTACACAAAGACTCAGGGTACACAAACACAGTTATGAGCTTGCACTCCCAAGACAGGGAAGCACAGACATCAGGTATCAATCACACTGTCTCCAGGCGGGGAGACAATCTGGGAGACTGTTTGCCTTGGGCCTGTGCCTCAGCATCTCTTACACTGTCTTCTCACTACTTTTATTTTAAAGATTAAAACATCACCTCTGTTTTCTTAAAGCTCCAAGGTGGGGAGGAGGGGGGAGGAGGAGGCAATGAAAACAGCTGTAAAGACTTTTTAGTACCAGGGACCAATATATCGGATGCTGACCCTGGGAAACTTTATTATTTACCTCTGCTGGAATGGGAAAGGAAAATAGCTGGAACAAGCACAGCTCTCGGATACACGCGGTGCAATTGTCTATACAAGGCAGTTCCATGGGAACCCCACCGGAGAACGAGACACACTCAGCAAACACGGCCAAGTGCACAGTGTGCTGAAGGAGAAGTGTGAGGCATTAAACATTTCCTTTCCTTTCTCTATTACTTTTTGACAACAGGACAGAAACCATCTGAATATTTTTTCCTCGTAAATTTTCTGAAATTATTTGTCTTTAAAAAAATAATTGGAGACACATTTCCATTAGCAGCAGCACTGATTCTTTACTAATTCGTGAAGAAAAAATATGAAATAATTGGTAAGAAGTGATCCCTTGGGAAACAGAGATGCCTGATCTTATAACTCAGCCTGGTCACTTGGGCTCGGAGCTACACAGGAATGCGAGTGCTGTGACAGCCAGCATCGGAATATCCAATTTTTGCATGCCTGTCCATTCCTTCCCATCCTTCTCTCACCTACCAGAAGCTGCTGGAACTGAACAAGCGCACTCATTCACTATGCCTGGCACCTGGGAATGGGACTGAAAGAAACACCAACCCAAACATCCAGGGTGTTGCACATGAGCTACCTAAATTAGTCAGTGAGAAATGCTGGAGAAAAGGGTGTGTTACAGCCTTGTCCTGTCTAGGGCTTAGGTGCCTTGTTCAGGTTTAGCAGGACATGCTTCTTTTCACTCTGGATTCACAGCTCTGAAAACTTAATTATAGCTTTTCACCTTGCATTAATTAACATGAGAAATGAAGAGCCCTCTCTTCAGTCTGCTTTTTCTCTGCCCACCCGTTACCCTCGAATAACCCATCGCCTCTGGGTTCCCGCTCTCCCTAGGCACAGGGTTGCATTCCTACCGGGGAGGTGGGACCCGCGCACAGCCTGGGTGAGGCTGCAGACAAAGGAGGGTTGAGGCCTCCTTCTGCCATCTTTCAGATAGAAGGGGATACGTTTTGCGTAGCCCAGTGTGAGGGGCATGGACCGAGAGACCCTACTAAAGCAAAGCAAGCTTGTCCCAGGACGATCCCATTATGTAGGTCCCACCCACGCTGAAGAGGTGAGTCCCAAGCTGCCCAGCCCGCATTAGCCTGGGGTACTTGCGCGTACCTGGCAGCAAAACCCCGGTGTCAGAAATGAATGGCATCGCTTCAGAGAGGACCAGGGTGCCACATTTAGGGACCCACATGACTCACGTCGCTGAAATGAATGGGACTAATAACATCACTGGCCACCCCAACCTCCCCAAAGTGTTGCTCCCACATACACCACATGGTCCAGCACCATTGGAGTTTCCAGCCCTGCTTAGGAAGGAGCCACAGCTGCTCTGCAAGGAGCAGCCACAAAGGCAGTCCAGGAGGTGCTTGGTGCCTGTAGAGTCGCATCGCTGTGGGGCAGCATCCCCAGGCCTGCTGGTGGCATCTCCAAACCAGCGATGTGAAAGCTTTGTCCTTGCTGGTGCCTGAGTTGGAGCCTCGAGCCCCTCATCAGGCACCGAACGGCTTCCTAGGAGGAAAGCGAGCATGGGAAAAACTGCAAAATGGGCAAGGTAGCCTCCACGGGCCTTAAAAATTTGTAATCAAAGGGCAAAGAAAACAGTTTCCAAACGTGCCAAAGTATCCACGACGATCACTTGCCCCCTTCATCCTCCAAAGCCGCGAAACAGCTTGGATTCCACTTTCACACAGCCCAACTGTAACTACCTCTGTGCCACCTCTGAGTCCTAATCCACTTCATGAAAACGCCTCTGGGAAAAGCGAAGTTGCGCTTTCGTTAGCGCTTCTCCGCCGCCGGTTTCCTTCGCCTCCCCGCGACACCGCGGCAGCGCAGCCGGCAGCCGCCGCCGCTCCCGGCGGGTCCCTTCGGCGCCGAACGCCACCCCACCCTCGGCTCGAAGAGGGTCCCCGCGATGTGTCCGCGGGAGGGGCGGGACCCCCCCGGCCGCACACAGGCACACGCACCCCCACCCCCCCAGAGGCGCGGCGGCAGCGGGCGGCGCCGCCAGGTGCGCC